CGGGCATTGACATTTCCTAAATTTGACATTGAATATAATAATAATACTATTAACGTTGTGAATACTACAAAATTTCTAGGTTTAACGATTGACCGTAACTTAAATTGGAAGAATCATATTGAAATTACTTGTAAACGAATTAGTAGTAGTGCATTTGCTCTGTACAGGTTATCTTGGACTGTCAATGAGGATGCTCTATTGACCGCTTATTATGGACTAACTGAATCCGTTTTAAGATACGGGGTCATTTTCTGGGGCAACGCGACTGATAAAGATATAGTTTTTAAAGCTCAGAAACGATGTATAAGGTCTACGTTCGGATTGAGCGTCAGAGATTCGTGTAAGCCATATTTCATACGTTATAAAATACTGACATTACCATCAATCTACATATTAGAGGTGGCTTTATTTGTCAAAAATAATCCTAATCTTTTCCCACGTATGGCTGAAATGTTTCCTCGAAATCGACGCGATAATAATAAACTTTGTTTACATTCGTCAAGTACGGCATTTATGCGCAAAAGTGTTATATGCATGGCTCCTATAATTTTTAACAAGATTCCACACAGTTGGAAAGAATTTAATGGTGAATTATTCAAAAAGAAAGTAAAATCATTTCTCGTTGGAAAGGCCTATTATAATGTCGACGAATTTCTAAAAGATATACTTGACTAATAAAAAATTAATAAAATGCAATTGATTTATATAATTTTGACATAACAGATTTGACATATTTATTTTTATTAGTTTTTACTGATTGACATTATTATATGTATATTATACCTTTACTGTAGTTGTAACAGTAATAAGTAGACATCATTTCTTAATTATTATTATTATATTGTTTTTAAATGTAAAATGATGGTTACTCTGACATATTATTATCAATATTCCATCGATGTCTAATATTGAATAAGGTTTCCACATTCGAAAAATGTCGGTTAGTTCGCAATGACTATGAGTGACTACTATATTTGCACGCCATTGTATACGGCAAACATGTCTCGAACTTTTTTCACTGTTACCCGCTATCTTGCATGCTATTGTTTATTGTATGTACACATGTGTTTGAGCAAATAAACATGATTTGATTTGATTTGATTCTGCAAATCTACTGTTAAGGCCGCGTATCTGCAATAAATCCAGTTTTACAGGGGAAGGTTAAAACTTAATAACTTTATTAATTCAATGAATTTGGAACTCATTTTTACATATTAAAAAATGTGTCGATATGAACTCGTGTCTTGATTAAACTATAGTTGTCAGATACGTGGAATTATCCAATGCTCGTTCTGCGGTTCTATCTCCGACGAAATGTAGGTTACACATCACACCCAGACACAGATCTATTTGAACCTAACACCCTGTAACTGTATAACACATTATGTAACTACACAAAGAAAGCGAATCAAGGAGTCCGCGCATAAAATATACATTGTTACCGTCCACGTGGCCAGGGAAATTCAATTTTCTACGCCGTTAGTAATGCTCTCGAATTGTGACGGCCTTTTCCGAATAGAATGGAATCAACACATTTGTGAAATAATTTTATTTTATTGAAAACTGTAGGATGTGGTACAGATTTTTTGGGTTTATGTGGAATAAATCTGATGTGTGAAAACGATTTAACGATAATATTATGTGGTTTTGTTTTCTATAGTTCAATAGGTTTATATTATAAAAAAATATTCATCATCATCATCAACAGCCTATAAATGCCCGCCGCTGACCAAAGCCTCTTCTCACACGGAGAAGGTTTGAGCATTAATCACCACGCTTGCTCAATGCGGGTTGGTGATTTCAAACTTATAATTAGAAATTATAAGCCTAGGTTTCCTCGCGATGTTTTCCTTCACCGTTTATCTGTTTGTTTGTCTTCACCTGAATAATCTTAGAAAGTACATATAAAAAGTCACATTGGTACTTGCCGCTGGTAGGTTTCGAACCCGCACCCTCATACATGAAAAGCGGGCGTCTTAAACCTCCGGGCCACCACGACATGCAATAAAAATATTCAGTGAAACACAATTTCTAAACGCCAATATGTACAAAGACTTGTGTCTAAAAAAATTTGTTATTCAGTTAAAAAATTAACTTACTGTCAATATGTTTTTCTCTCTTCTAGACATTGCTCAGCGGTAAGTCCCCTCTTTGAGGAGTGGCTTGAGAGACGCTACGGCGTCCTCACCTACCGCCTGACGCAGGTCCTCACCGGACATGGCAGTTTCGGGAGGTACCTGTGTCTGATGGGGCGGGAGGAAACGCCCGGGTGTCATCACTGCGAGGACCGCCCTGAGGACACGGTGGAACACACGGTGGGAGAATGCCCTTCGTGGGCTGAGCACCGCCGTGTCCTCAGGGAAGTGATCGGCGATGGCGACCTCTCGCGTCCGGGCCTAGTGCAGGCCATGATGCGGAGCGAGGGGGATTGGGATGCCGTCTCCTCCTTTTGCGAAGCAGTCATGCTAGCTAAGGAGGAGGCGGGACGCGTGAGGCAGCGAAGCGCTGCCTCCTCGCAACCCAGCCATCGCGAAGGACACACCGGGCGTCGGGGATCGCGGGACGATCTCCGGCCACCGTAAGCGCGGGCCTACGGACGGCGAGCATGGGTGGCTCCCCGTCCGACCAGAAACAGACCCGAGCGTACGGCGCGTCGCGTTCCGCGCGCGCCTCAAAGAGCCATCAGACCACCACAGATGGGGCCCAATAGGGCCGATGCCGATTCGGAGTCGCGGAGAACCTAACGGGTAACCGGGGCTCCGGCTCGACGTGCAGGAGAAGGAACGGGGTGGTTTTTAGTCAGTAAGAGTCTGACACTCCCTCCCGCCTCACCCAGGCGGGGGCAGTCATTCGATGATTTTCCCCCCTTAAAAAAAAAGACATTGCTCTTTTGATCGTATGCCTATTATAATTTATTTAACCTTTTGTACTTGAGTACGTTGACTTGAATGATGGTTATTTTTAGTATCATTGGTCCCATAGTCAATATTAATAAAAACCCGATACAATCTTTACAAAGCTAACTATAGTGATAATAGTGTAACTAACACGACTTTCTTTTATATTATATAGATTATATCTATAGTAGAAATGATATCAAACACTTAGAACACAACTATACAACAATTGCAACTTAACTGCACCAAAATCACAGTGTAAATGTTACCAAACCTAATTATCAAAGTTTGGATTAAACAACTAACTAGTCAGGAACTAACTAGAACTAGGTTCCAAACAATATTGTCAAGCGACCGACTTTTGATATTTATGATGATGTTTTTATAATAACTGTCGTCAGATATACTGAATTAACTAAAAATTATGAGTAACTTACGTAAATATAGTTTTATTTTTTTTTAAGTGGGGAAAATCATCGAATGACTGCTCCCGTCTGGGTGAGGCGGGAGGGAGTGTCAGACTCTTACTGACTAAAAACCACCCCTTTCCTTCTCCTGCACGTCGAGCCGGAGCCCCAGTTACCCGTTAGGTTCTCCGCGACACGTAAATATAGTTTACTGGGAAAAGCTTTACTAGTTTCGAGTTACAGAGCTACACTTCCTCGTGAACGCTGTGCAACGTAGACTGGACGACATCGCTGCTCATCTTATTTTTGTGCAGTTAAGTTATTGCAATTATTATGTGGTTGTGTTTTAAGCATGTGACATCGTTTCTATCGAGTTAGACACAACAACATTTTTTATGTTACTACGTGAGTGACTGGTATTTTTTAGTTAATTCATTATAATTAAAAAAAGTCGAATTCTGTTATTTTCTGATGAAGAAAAACGAGACTCTTAAATCTTTACTTCATGAATAGCAATAAACAATAAAAGTACAAAAAGGAAATAAAAAAAAATTATGAATTAAAAAATGGAAGATCTTATATTCCGTTTTTTTCTGTTGTAAGTATTATATCACTAATTTGGTCATGAAATCTCTACTAAAAGTTATTATAAATGCGAATGTTTGTATGTTTGTTTATCACTTCTTCACCTCAAAATGGCAGAAGGGATCGACATCGGAACAGGGTAGTCTAGCCTACTTTTATCCTATGGCTACGTCGGCGAAGCTGCTGACAGAAACTAGTCCGATATAATTAAAAAAAATAGTATGTATGCGTGTGTAGACTCATTGTATACTAAAGTACTCGTACCTTACAGCGAAATATAATAACAAAATAATGTTTATCTTATATTATTTTCAAAAACAAAGTAAACTTCAACATTTTCAATAGAGAAAGAAAAAGCAACCTTGCATTGACTAGACAACTTCGTTAAAAGAAAATCGAATGCATCTTGAGAAGGTAAGAAAAGAAAATGTTGTTTGGACAGAACCAGACAGGTAAGACGGGTTGTTACCCTCTGCGATTCTCTTCATGAATAGTAAGTTGAATCGACACTATTGACAACATGAAACTCTTAAGAAAACTATTTGTTTGAAAACGGAAAATATTTTGGTTATCTTGGTTTCCATTTGCCCTAAGGAACGACTATTACAATACCTATAAGAGCATCATCAACAACCTACGGGTTATGGGCCTCCCTAGTATAAAATGTCCCATCCACACTTGACAACCGTGTTGAAGATAACAATTTAAATGGTTCAGATTTACAGGTGAACGTTGATGTCTGGTTCCTGTCATTACAGAGCCCCTTATTGGCAATGTCAATACAAAGTCCTTTAGGAGCAATATCAATACACAGTCCCTTAGGGGCAATCTCAATTCACAGTCCCTTAGCGGCAATGTCAATACACAGTCCCTTAGTGGCAATGTCAATACACAGTCCCTTAGTGGCAATGTCAATACACAGCCCCTTAGTGGCAATGTCAATATACAGTCCCTTAGTGGCAATGTCAATACACAGTCCCTTAGAGGCAATGTCAATAAATGTCAATACACAGTCTCTTAGGGGCAATGTCAATACACAGTCCCTTAGAGATAATATCAACTTATATGCCAATAGGAGTAAGGGTAATCCATCCTCTCAACTATCCCTTACCTGAGCAATCTGGTCGAATCTTCCGAACAGTTCGTTGAGGGTCTTCACAAGATCAGAAGCACTGAGTCGTTCCGATAGTGGTGTGAAGTTGACGATATCTGCGTACAATATGCTGACGTTGTTGTGTCTTTGCACGTGCATCTCATGGAACCTCGTCTGCTTCGAGCTGTCAGCACAGGCATCCGCCATTTTGAGCATTATTGAACGTTTTACCTGGAACAAGGAGAAATAAATGTTAGGAAAAACCTTATTAATAGACACTTCTTAGAACGGTAAATAGTATTTTTATAGGATAGAGCATTATACATAGAGGGGCAAATAAGCATAATGTGGGTCATCCCAAGGTAAACAATTAGTGACGTCATCAGAAAAGTTACATATGCGATCCCAGCTATTTTATAAATTCGTCTTGGTTTGGCAATACTGTAAGTGGTCGTCCATTCTACAATATTAACTTTAGACTGGCGCGGTGGAATGACGCTGTCATTAAAGAAAATTTTCACCATCCCTCAAGTTTTTACTTTGAATACGTATTTTTTATTCCATATATTTAACTGAAATGTAATATTATTATTTAATCGACTCTTAAACCACGGTGACCGCCACCTATTGTTCTTTAATTGTGTCTATAATGACGGTACTCAAAGGGTTAATTAGTATGGCATTATTTTGATTACAATTCCATTAAATAAGTCCGAATCTTTTTAACTGTTGATACAATTTTATCGTCCAATAAGCAATAGTTATAATTCGTAAAATCTTAACCAGACTCAACAACATACAAACTGATTATCAAAAATGAAATAACAAAACCTACCCAACAAATATTTAACAACAACACGTACTATCTAGATTCCACATAAATATATTTGGAACACATAATACTGATTCGATTTCGTACGGAGACCGTATCTGCTTTCAGTAATTCTGGAGCCCATTCGATTATCCACTCCGGTAATCGGGTCGTCAAATTAGGTTTTTCTGGTTGAACAAATAGACAGCCGTCAAAGCCATCACTGTTTCGTTGGCTGGCGCTATGTAATTGAATTTGATTTTTGTAAAACTATTGTTTTTTAGAACTAGGACGAGTTTTGTAAACGATTCGTTGGATCACGATTGTGGATATCATATCATTAGGTTACAGAAATTGTAAGAGGATTTAAGTATATTGGTGTTCTTTTAACAAAAATCAGGGCTAGCTTGGTAAAGTTAGATGATGGTAGACTAAAGTAAAACACATTTGGTTATTCACGGCCGACTAACTTTATTTTAAAAATGGAACGTTACCAAAGAGTACAAGTTTAGTTCACCTACCATAGACCAGATGCCAATTAAATAGTTGTCATGTTTTTATACAATTATCATTAACCTAATGTGTATCATAATATAAGGTTTTTGTCTGTGTATATAGCACGTATATAGTTGTGTAAGGTACTTAAAATACTCTATTTATTATTTGCATAGCGCCTGAACAATTTGATATAGCAATCATTAGTATCACTACTAAGGAGAATAACAAAATTACTAGGCATTACACCGCATACTGTCTTTAATAACTTCAACTGTAACAAGCGTATGGCTACAACTCTATACTAAAAAACCAAACTATGTAATGAAACTTTTGAAAAGATATAATCATCATCTGCATCATCGCTTACCACCAGGCGAGATAGTAGTCAAGCGTTGGCTTATATTATTAAAAGAAAAGTTTATGAAAAAGATTAAATAAGGAATTGTAAAAAATATCATTTAGTAAGTACAGTATAATCATAATGTTCACATTGTACCTACTTATCAACATTGTAAAATGTTCCTAGAACAAAATACGTACACATAAATATTGTACTCAAGTCAACTCATGCGCAGTGTCACAATATTATGACTCCGCAGGGTCATGACACGAATGACATTAGCCGTCAGTCATGTCACGCAGGTCGGGGATTTTGCAATGACGAACATATTAATACAAATTAAAGGAAAAATGTCATTGAACATTTTCCAGGACCCAGAGTTAGATTTATAGGAAAAAATTTTACCTAGGTTAAAAATATTTATCGCCTAAGTTATGTTTGAAAGTGTTTTTAGCCTTTAAAGGTGGAAGGTAAAGTTTTATAAAGTATAGTAATATTAATACACAATATTGTCATTTTGGTCAAGTGAATACAAGTGCAACTGTTGACTCCCGGGTCTGAGCCCAAGTTAGGAAAACAAATAAAGCGATTTTTCTCGGTTTTATATATTTGATTAATAAGAATACTAGGAACTGCGAATATCTGCTCGCTTTCTGATATAGATAATATGGGAGTAATATGGTAACTTTTTTTTATAGCATAAGCCGGTAAACGAGCAGACGGATCACCTGATGGTAAGCAATCGGCGCCGCCCATGGACACTCGAAACACTAAGACGTTACAAGTGCGTTACCGGCCTTTTGGCAATTGGGAATTTGAGGATTGTGGAGGATTCGGGGATTCGGGAGACGAGGACTAGGGAGGTAACCTCACTCACACGACGAAACACAACGCAAGCGTTGTTTCACGTCGGTTTTCTGTGAGGCCGAGGTATCACTCCGGTCGAGCCGGTCCATTCGTGCCGAAGCATGACTCTCCCACACTTAGAAAACTAGCGAAAAGTGAATGTCGCATTAAATGTTTACACACTGTGCATAGTGTGCATCTCTATCGGAAAATAAATAATACAAAGTTAGAAAGAAGAGTTTTTCCAAATAAAATTCTACGTAATTTTTTTCTGAATAAGAATCTGAGAACTGGTTTTGTTTATAATCGTGTGTTTTATCAAGGTCAGAAGATACGCTTCAGTTAAATCATTCAATAAATAAGGAAAGTACCTCTATTTTATTATGACATACCGTATAAGGAAATCATTTTTCTAAATGCACGCAAACTGCATTGAAGGAAAAGTATGACGTAAGTGCATTTAATTTGAATTAAATTGTTTCCTTATTTACAAAGCGATAAGACGTGATTTGGAAAAACAATAACCGAGTCATATCCGTCATCACAAGTTATCCTTCCGAGTCTTAATTCATAACTGACATTCCACTTTCGGTTTAATCCGATGGAATTAAGAATATTTCTCTCGAGTAAGTCTTAATCTCATGGGAATAGGCCTGAAAAGCAGGCTTCCATGCTTCAATGCTGAAAGCATTTTTCAATACAGTCCAGTAGTTTCTAAGACTATTCAATGCAAACAAACTAACAATGATTTCTATGCGCCCTAGCTTTGCCTAGATGGCAAGAATTCCTCAATAAAAAAATATATGTTTGTCTTTAACACAGTCTCGATTCCGCGGTTGGTTCGCTGGCTGGGCAACTGTGCAATGTGTAGCGGGTTCGATTCCCGCACGGACCAACTTTTTATGTAATCCACACATTGTTGTTTCGGGTTTGGGTGTCATGTGCATATGTGTTTATATGATTGTAAAAGCATTCACGACCTTTTTTTTTTTTTTTTGAGGGGGGAAAATCATCCAATGACTGCTCCCGCCTGGGTGAGGCGGGAGGGAGTGTCAGACTCTTACTGACTAAAAACCACCCCGTTCCTACTCCTGCACTTCGAGCCGGAGCCCCGGCAACCCGTTAAGTCTTCCGCGGCTCCGTATCGGCATGAGAAATACCTAGTGTAAGGTTAAGTTTTTATAAAAAAAAATTTTCAGTACCATTGGCGTACTATCTAAGTGCTATTTATTACAATATCTAAACATTTTTTCTATAGCCAACAAAAAATGTCATCAAGGAAAAACACAAAAAATCTGATTCACAAAATAATCTCTAACATTTTCGTTGTTTTTATTAGAAATACGTGAATAAGCTGTAAAGAGGGAATTACTAAGAGGGCGTATACATACATACGTACTCATTAGATTGTCTGACGTAGTTATGACGTCACTACATAGCATGAATGGGGACAATCTAGTTTTTTAGAGGATGGTTCTTTGAATTAAAGAGGTAGCCAATGTATTTGAGGAACATTAATAGACAGTATATTCAACTGATATTATTAAACCATTTTTTTTTACTTAAGTTGTTTGGATTAGATAAAATCTTTTCGCCTTTGTTAAGTTATATTTAAGTGTGTTTCTGTAGAATAGACATAGAAAAGTTTATAATAAAAAATCTTATTCTATTCTATTGTGTCATATTTAGTGTGAAATAAGTCAAGGATATTTGGAGGTTTTCTAGAAGCAGTTTACGTACACATCAGACGTCTAAAATCACTTCTATGAATAGCTAGATTGTGTCTGACGCTTAATTTTGAAGAAATGAAGGTAAGAATTACTTGCATATTTGAGTAAACCTATTTAATTAACACGTGTGTGAGAGCTTGAAAAACCATGCTTCGGCACGAATCGGGCGGCTCGACCAGAATGCCACGTACCTAGTGCCAGATACCACGGCCTCACAGATTTTTTTTTTATTGGGGTAAAAATCATCCAATTACTTTTTCCGCTTTGGGTTAGGCGAGAGGGAGTGTCAGGCTCTTACTGACTAAAAACTACCCCGTAGGAACGTAGTAACTACCCCGTAGTTTAGCTCCTGTTCGTGTTGTGTTTCGTCATGTGAGTGAGGTTACCGGAGGCCCAATTAACTCCCCCCTCAACTCCCCAATCCCCGAATCCCCCACAATCCTAAAATTCCCAATTCCCAAGAGACCTGTAACGCACTTATAACGACTCTGGTGTTTCAGGTGTCCATGGACGGCGCTGATAGCTTACCATTAGATGATCCGTCATCTCGTTTACCGGCTTATCCCATAAAAAACATAAGTAGATACATGTCTATAGTCACATAGTACTCATAATATAAAAACTGAGTCGTGGGTCTTAGTCACATTGTATATCTATGCCTACGTCTTCAGGCTTCATAAAAAGTGACTTCATGCGAAAACGAAGATACGTGAAAAAGTCAGTTTACCATTAATAGTAATAAATAAGTTAAACTTTCCATTTTCCTGCCTTAAAGCATAGATTTTTCTTTAACACCAAAACAGGACATAAGTTTAAAAATGTCACAATACTATTTGTTTGTCGAACTATTAACGGAACTGTGGTGACGTCACAAGTGTAGGTCACCATGAAATGTACCACTTTCACGTCCTCATAGCTCAGAGTGATAATTGGAATAATATTTCCGAATTTAGACTGAAGGACATAATAATTATAAGGCATGTTTTCACTTGTTTCAAAGTGAGTCATTGGAATTACTTTTTTGTGGCGTAATGTAATT